CTGACCAAAAGACAAAGTTTGTAATGTTGCGATGCTCCTCGTCACTGGTTTGAACCAAGGCTGCTGAAAAAGTTCATAGACACACTGTTTTAGACATGAATTTGTTTAAAATGTAATCGCTAATGTTTTATCATAATACATGTGAGACAGACTATGACAATAATCATTTACAGTATGTTTTTGTTAATGTTACAACATAAAACGTAAAGTACAACTAATATTGTTTTACCTGCCTCTGTAACGAGATGTTTGCATTTTTCCGCAGGATGAGAAATATTGGTCGCGAAGGAAGAAGAACAATGTGGCGGCGAAGCGCTCTCGTGACGCCCGGCGTCTGAAAGAGAACCAGATCGCCGTCCGCACCACCTTCCTGGAGCGAGAAAACGCCGCGCTGCGACAGGAAGTGGCCGAGCTGCGCAAAGACTGCGGCCGCTGCAAGAAGATCATGTTGCTGTACGAAGCCAAATACGGCTCGCTGTGAGGGACGCACTTCACCCCGACACGTATCAGTCTCGTTATAATTCACACCGCAGTTACACAGCCGGGGATTGTGGGTAATGTGGCACCGCGCGGAAAGTGGACGAGAATGACGCGAGCGCGTGTTTTTAAGAGGATGTTTTAAGGGTTTAGAAGACACAAAACACATGATAACAGCATAACCTTTGACCTCTGGCCTCCTCATACCTCATTCTGCCCTCTCCACGACCCCCATATGACCCGAGCAGTGAGTTTTTAGAAGTTTATTCGGTATGAAGATGAGATAATGCAGCCGACTGGAAAAGTCGCACACGGCGGCAAGTTAGCGTTCAGTCTGAGAGTGTTTGGTCATGGAAAACATGACTTTACGACTGTTTTCAGCTAGTTTTTAACCTGTTTCTTCCTTTTTGTACTTGACATGTCATCGGTGTTTGTGTACAAGAGGTTTTTCGCAGAAAACAAGCATGACCCTTGATATGAAGCAATTATTTTCTTTATTCTACAAAAACGAGTGCACTTCGGGCGATTGCGGTTTGCGAAGATTTGAAAGAAAGAAGAGTCTGTAAATATACGCTTGTATCCGTCCACTAGTGTCGTTGTTCTTCCAGAATGATCTTACCATGTAAAAAGCGACATTTCTATTGTGCAGATTTTTAACACTATAGCGACTATGCTGCGTTCAAACGCATCTTCACGGCAGTTAACTGGACGATTATTTTAACGCGAGCGTCTGTGCAGGAGTTTAACTGTGAGCGACTGGATCTGGTTTGTTTTCAGGGTTTAATCCAGGGCAATAATGTGCGATTCATCTTTACCTCAGATTAGATATTTCTAACAAGTGTTTTTTTTTTTTTTTTTTTTTACATTTATTTAAGATGAATTTTTTAGTCTGGCAGCTCAGCATCAGTTAAAAACACAAGCGTAACGAATTTCTGTGTAAAATGTAAATGTAAAATAAAAAAAAAAAAATGTATTCTTACCAATGACGCATTCATCATTGCATTTTTAATGAATTACTAAAATAATAATAATAATGCATTTTTAGATACATTTTTGCATTGGTAAAACCATTGTGGCGTGAGCATGATTTGTTTTAGTCAATGACATTAGCATCACTGTTTTTCACTGGTATTCCAAGTTATTTTATTTTTTTTAATGGTGGAAAATAATTTGCTTCCAGTGTTTATGGATTTTGATAGATTACATTTAATCATGGTTTGTTTTTAATGCTGTGCTTAGAATTTAATTTTTAACAGATCAACGTTTTACATTTTTTATTGTATTTTTAACATTTATATTAGCTTTCTCATTTCACACACACACAATCATATATAATATATATACATACACACACACACACACACACATATATATATATATATATAATATATACACAGTTTTATTTTTTGCATTTAAAAACTAATGTCATAAGTCATCAGGATTGTGTTTCTGCAAAACGGGTTTCTAGCACTTACAGGCGAATCTATTGTATATTGGCGAGTCATTAGTGCATGCTGTTGTCATGGTGACGTTGTGCAGTGGGTGTGTCCTTCTCTTCCATATATATAACTTTTTTCTTTTGATAGATTTGTTGTTTTAACTCTTTCTACTCCTGTTTGATTTCATTTTACAAACCAAACAAAACTTTCACGTCAATCACTGTGTTTCAAATGTACAAGAATGAAGTTTGTTTGTTTTTATAGTGCAATTTTGTGATTTAATCTGAATTGTGACGTTGGCCTTTGGTTTTTGTTATTAATCTGTCATGTAAACTCCAGACATTGAGTTCAACGTTGGACTCTGTGAAACGGAAATGTAGCATTTAGCTTTTTTTTTTTTGACGTTTTTGTCTTTAATAAAACATGTAACTTTCAATATATGGATGGACAGTAACTTTTTTTAAAGAGTCCTGTTGTTTTTATAAAGTCATTTTCCTCTGGTGTAACGCAGTATGTTATGACTATCCTGTACTGCGCATATTAATAAAGTCGGATATCAGTGATTTGACCTTGCTGAGGTTGTGATGGATCTGCGCTGTGATTGGCTGCTGCTGATGACATCACATGTGTGAGATGCATCTGCAGTACAGTATGGCTCTCGCTGCAGAGACGATCAGTGACCTTACGAGCATCTGTGCGGAAACACATAAATAATACTGTACAACACATCATTCTGCACATGCTTTTAATGCACATTTGTCTGTACAGCGTCCTCGGAGTGTGTGTGTGTGTGTTTTCCTCCATTGTGTTGGTTCTTTGTTATTCTCAGTCTGATGTTACGTAACAATCATCCTCACACTCGAGTGTCGTTAAATAACATCTGCTTCAGAGGCACACACTGATCTGAATGTGTCTGAAGAGAGAGAATCAAATCACCTTTACATGCTTGAGACAGAACAAAAATCATATACATCACATACAACATGAAAATAACCAATGTTTTAGAAAAACAAGATTTTCTCAAGTTGCTTTTTTTATTTTAATATATAGTAATGTTTTAATGTTTTTTTTTTGTTTTTATACATTTTTGTTTAATATGTCCATATTATTACATATACATATGTTATATTACACATATAACATACATCGTATAACATTTTTATTAATTTTTAAAAAATGCAGTGAATCATTCAGTTTATTTTTCATGTCATTAATTTTTTAAATATTTTACAGAGAGAGAGGTTCAAGTGTACTTGATCATTATGTCTGGGTCATATTTCACCCCAAATGCTAAATATTTAAAGAAAAAAAGCTTATTTGTATGTCCATTTATTAATTGTTATATTATAATAAAATTAGAAACATTGGCAACAAGCTAAAATAAAGTCAAGTTTTTGCATATTTTAATTTACTTCAATTAATTTATTATTTTGTAGTTAATCATAACCCTGCTTCAAATCTCAAATCATGCTGGAAAACAGGTTTAGTTCATGTGGTGCTGAGAGGCGCCAAATACTACACTGAACATGTGTTAGTCCAACTGATCACTTAAGACTGTGATGCCCAGAAAATCTGATGAATAAGAAAATTGCATAAGCATTATTGTAACAGGTCTCGGTCTTAATCATTTGTTTCATTCACACAGATAAACGTCTTAAGTGTTGCAGTTTTTTGGGATTGTTTCATTGAGATTATTGTGATTTAACTTTTTCATTAGTGCTAGTATTATTATTACCTTCAGTGTTGGACATCATATAATTGATGCATGATCTGATTTAACTTACTGGCATTCTGATTTTTTTCTGCCGAGACTCTATAGGTTTGATGTTATAAGAGATGTAAAACATTCACATCTCAAACGTGCATTTCAAAAAAAAAACAAAACCTTAATGACAAGTTTTGGCTTCTTTCTCACACGAAGAAGAGAAATGCATGTATATAGCAAGATTATACCTGAAAAAAAAATGAAATGGACATGTTCTTCTTGAGATTCACTTCAAATATTTATCACATATACAGAATCACCTTAGACTTGTATTTCTTCTACAGAATTGATTCTGGTCTAAGTTTGCACTAATAATGCAAATGGCAGGTTTAAAGGGAAATAAATGTGATCCTATCCACATAAACCTCATGTAGACATGACAGGTGCGTTCTGACGATCAAAGCCAATTTAGACATTTTAAACATCCAAAAAAAAAAAAACGAAAAAGGCAAATAAGATCATATAAATGGAGCTTATGTACCATTTAAACTTGCTTTGTTTCCAATAGAAATAGAATAAACAGAATCAATGTATATTACATGACTGGAAAACTAAATAGCCCATATAGACTGTTCTGTGTTCTGATTAACTGAAGTCTGTGATTAGAGGTTGTGACCCAGAGCTTCATTCCCAGCCGCAGGTGTTTATTCAGCTGCATGAGAACAGTGAGGTTATATCAACAACACATCTCAAGAGTTTGACATGCTGAAATATTTTAATTTGGTGGTTGTAGTGTCAAAAAACAAACACAGACCAAGGTCTTCATGATTCCTAAACTCTTTTTGGATATTACTAATAATCAAAAATCTGTCCGGTATCAAATTACTTCAATCCAAATTAAATCCCATTCAATACAAAGAAACAAAGAAGAGCTGGAGTTGTGTTGCAAACCTGAAAGACTTTTATTAACCTTATCATGAACAGACCGTTTGCCAATAGACAGGATAGATATTGACAAAATTATTAAAGGATCTTTGCATTTTTGTGCATTTAATTGTCAATAATACTGTTAATTTGAGAGAAACCTGCAATGCCTAAAGAGCTAAATATTTTGGGTTTGAACACTAAGGATGATAGGAGGTTTATATACCAACTTGCTTTGGAAGTTTTCATGTCATAAACTATATTAGGAAATCAAGGACTTCTCAAGAGCATCAAACCAAAAACTACTAGTGTTAAATTGAAATCACTCCAGTAGAAGGTACAATACACATTCAGCACTTTGTTAAACACATTTTATTAGTCATTTCATCTAGCATATATATATTTATAATCATAGTAATTTCTGAAAAAATAACTTCAGCACGTAAGAAACTAAACAAAAGATCTTGAACATAAGAAATATATACATATTCGTGTCATCGTCGTATATATATCTCTTAATTTGCTTTATAAATGCCGTAGAGAACTCTTTTGAAAAAACACATGAAAAAATATAGAAAAATTGTAAATAAATTACAAACAATTATATAGCATTTATAGAGAAATCTAAACCCCGCCCACCCCAAATGAAACCAATGGAAACGACTGAATATTCATGAAGCTGACGTTCACATTTCAAATGTCGAGGAAGGACGTCACAAGAAGTACAGTCTCACCCAAACATCTTAGAAAGTTCTTCATTTTTTAATACAATCTTTAAACTATATTACCAAGCTATAGTTCAGTCATAATTGGCCATTAAAGGGTGAGTAAAGGACCTTTAGCATCTAGCATATAGTATTTATTGTGAGGCATTGCGGGAGTTTCCATAAGCTCCGTGCGTAAAGTGCAGTGCGGCTGGACAGGGCAGTACGCTGAGGGGGAAGTGATGTCAAAGGAAGCTAGCATTGGCTCCTACCTTCAAGAAGATTCTAGAACGCCAGCCTCCATCCTAGCGCAATAAAACGCTTCACAAAACACAGCCACTGCAGTCAGAATATGAGGTAACATTCAGAGTCCTAGAGCGGAGAAAACAAAGTGCAATTTTCACTGTAGCATCTCTTGCAAACCACCATTTACAACCTCTGGAACGTAAAAATAAAGCACTAAATTCAACACGCGTCTCTGTGACGGAAAGCTAATCTGTGCATCTCCGCACCAATGACCTTTAATCTCATGTCCTATTCCTTCAAAGACACTCAGCAGTTTATCAAAAGCTCCAACCAGTACCTTCACACACTTCTGACCAGGAACCCAAGTGTGAAACCAATCAGACTCACGCAACAATCCAGCAATCAATCGTCTTCGGTGTCTGAACTTACCCGATCTGCCAGAATGAAAATATACAACATCAATTCCCAATCTGACTCACTAGAAACAGGTATAAACACTGGCTGGTTTCATCAGGATTTGGCTCAATGTGTTCAAACTGTAAAGGACAATCATAAAGCTAACCCAACATACCAAACATGAGCTGCCTCTTAATCATCAGCTCAAGAGCACAAGACCCACGTCGGTTCAGAGGACATGTCATAAAATTACCATTAATCCTCAATTATGACAACTGAGGTGTGACCGAACTGTTAATGTGGCTGTAATCTCCAGAGCGTTATGTTTCTGGACATAAACACCATCCCAAAAATCCCTTTTAGGCATCTAGAATCTTCTCTAAGAATATTAGCTTTTTTTCCCAGAATCAATTTTAAAAAGTAGCATTAAACAAAGATTATAAAGACAAACATTTGGGCGATAAAGTGACTCCTTACTGAAAACAACAAACACAAAAACACCTGTGCAACAGGAGGCTGGTTACATCAGACTGGAAATCATCATGAAACGAGAAACAAATGAACGGAAAAGTAACAATCACAAGTAATACTCCATTAGCAGTCATAATACTCTTGATTTATCATGGTGGTAGTAACAGTGATTCATGGAGGGGAAAAAAATGTCCTCAAGGAAAGTGTTTCAGCATTGGGATCTCTTCAACTCGGAGACTTTAGTTGGCCAGCACCACAGGTTGGAAGGCCTGGTCGGAATACTGCAGGTTGTATCCGAGTCCTTCCACGAATGGAGGTTTATCCATGTAGGAAATTCCACTGTTGCCTCCAATGATTCCCACAGCCTGACCTGGTTGTAGACTAGAGAATGGATCGAAGGAGGCGTGTGGGTGTGGAGCCTGGAACGGCGTCATTGGCGGACCTTCGGTGTCAAAGTAGATGAGCCTCTGGGAAGCGGGAAACACAAACTCTTTGGCATTAGGAGACAACTGGCTTGGGATGGGTCCAGCTAGAGAGTGCATGGAGAGGGAAAGGGGTTTGTGCCTGACCAGCCCCGGTGGGGAGATGGTGCTGGGGGAGCGCGTGATCATCCTCTGTTGCGGGGCCGTGGCAATGCCAGAACCAGAAGCAACTCCGGGGTTCCCGCACTTCATCTTGGTGGAGCCAAATTTGGTGGCGGCAAAGCTGGCTGTGGTGAAGGTGATCGGCTGAGGTGCGGGCCGGGGGTTGGGAGTGGAGTACAAAAGACCAGCGCTTGGTGGCGAGGTGGTGGATGTGTTGGATGAATGAGCGCTGGGATTGGTGGGAGTGCTGGGAGTGGCGTAACTGAAGAGTCCCGGGCAAGATGAGGTAGAAAGAGGAGTTGGCGAACTGGAGAGTGAGGGTAGCATGACCGGCGACACCTGGCCACCGATGGGTATGAACACCTGAGCCTCTGGGTTAAAGCCCAGACTCTTGACGTCCTCGAACTCCATGTCTCCTTTGAGAGCGACATCAAACCTTTCGCCGTCGCCCCCTAAACCTGGCGGATCCTCCGTGTAGAGGACTTTCACAGCACCCTTCTCCCCAATCTGGTAGGACACTTCGTAAGGGTCGATCCAAATGCTGAGCTCGGGGGGAACGTTGGCACGGACCTCTTCGGTGTCCAGACCGCTCCTCCTGGCTGCCAGCTCCACCACAGGGTCCCTGGGAGCTCCCAGATGGAGGCAGCGGAAGGCAGAACCACGTAAAGGAGCCTCAGGGTACCAGTGCCCTTCGAAGTGGGACACCAGGATACGCTCCAATTCCTCGCCAAACAGATCCGCCCTACGGCGTGGGAGCTTGTTGTACAAGTAGGACACGATGAAGTTCAACGCAACCTTCACCTCCAGATGCATGATGAATTTGATTATGTCTTGAAAGTTCCTTCGGTTAGACTTACAACAGTCCTAACATCTCTTGCGAACATCAAGGTGAAAGTCTTTAGTCTTAGCCTTAAGCATCAATTTAAAACCAAGGGCCTCTGATTTTGGATTGTTGCTCAGAAATTGCTGAAAAGTGATTGTCAGAGACCAGCTGATTTTTAAAAATCTTCACCCTGAAACACTGACGTATGAAGACAGCAGCTCTCCATGATCCAGTTTCTTCAAAGCCTCTAGAAAGACAGACAGACCAGTTAAACAGAATATTAATACTCAATTCATTGACTGTCAGTGTGCATGTTTGTTTGTTTCAGCAGATGCTGAGGCCAAGGTACCAATCCATGATTATCTTCATGAAATCCCTCTTCTGTCCCTCTGGCTAAAGCACTTAGGATTAACATGTGCTAAGAGAGGGAAATTTACCACCAAATGCACTTGGTCCACTCACACTAGCTCAAAATGCTAAAAGGGAATGCTCTACAAGGATATATTTATACTTTAAACCCAGTGAATAACATCTTTAAGTCACTCATGTAACGGCATCACGTACACTTACTGTAATATATTCTACATAAATTAGCTAAGGATCATATTTGTGCATTTCGGTTAAAACCATCTGAGGGGAAACCCTATAAACTGCTGATAAAATGGTGCCGTTTAAGGCAGGAGTTAAAACTACACCTCCCAGCATGCACCACGACGCCGCCTTTGACGTCATCATCACACGTGTAAATGATGTGACGCCTCCGCATTTTCAAAACACTGATAAGCTCCGTTAAAACCCGTTTTATAAATGCACCACCCTTGTTATATTTCTAATAAAGGCGAATCCGCGGTGAGTTGCAGCACATATGAGGACAGTCATTGCCGGTCATGAAACGGATTATGATTATTCAGGAAAGAGACGCCTTAACCTAAATATCGCGCTCATACACAGACGTTCCAATAAATCATTAATACCAGCACTGATATTTAATCATGCAGCCATTTACAAATTTAAAACGCGGTTTAGATTTACGGACAGATGTTAAGTGATCTGACTTTTTCCTTGTGCAATTATCTTATTCACAACGCGTGAATAATGTCAGTTGTAGCGTTTGCAAATAAATCTAAATAGAATCTCTATTAGAGATTATATGACGCCATTTAATATATTGATATTGCTAACTGATAAAAAAGACAAAAAACTAAACGAGTCGTGCATCTATAAAAAAATCATATCATGCATTCAATGTCACTCAGTGTCAGAGTTTGATCAAATGCCATAACATTAAATATTTAGGCGACAGACAGAAATTATTTATTCTGTTACTAAACAATTATCCACAAGCCTGATTGTTTGTTTACACTCCCCATCTGTTACAAAACATCCAGCAGATTCACATTATCTCCCTAAACTAAACCACATCAGCTTCATCAAAACACCAATCAAACATATCTCACTCTTGACTTTGTTTAACTTGTATTAAAAAATTGAACCAAACACTTATCCAACACAGCACATTCAAACATAATGGTGTTGCATGACAATAGAAACACCTAAAGCAGATGGGATGCTGGAAGTTACGGTTCATGTTGGGCTGCTTGCTGTCTGTGTGTGTGTGTGTGTGTGTGTGTGTGTGTGTGTGTGCGCGTTGGGGGTTCTCTCAAAGAAACTTAATTTATTTTAAGAAAACTTAATTATCTAACTCCAAGAGTATCCAGAGACGTTTAATTCAAAACCACAAATCCTAACATTATAATTCATGTTGCACCGTTTTACCGATTCACAAAAACAGCATTAGAACATGTTCCATAAAGTTATTTGTGACACTCAGATATAAAATGGGCTTACAAATGCCCAGCAAACCTTTGGCCTGTTTTAGTCATCTCAGCACACCATTAAAGGACATCCGTGCAAACACGCATTCATCCAGGGTTTCAATAGTGTTATATGCAAATGCCTCAAATATGACCAATTGGCGCCATATTATTGTATCTTTAAATTTGTTACTTTATGACAATCTAAAATGGACGACAACTCATCACTCATTCAACAGAAAAACATTATGAATCTATCCTTTCAACATCATGTCCAGCGCCAATAAATTTTGCTGCCATTCTGATGAAAGCAGTTGGTAATTTAAACAAATAAAGTACTTACTGATTCAAAGCTAGTGTTTTTGTCCTGTGCTTATCATATCCATTAATCACACAAGTATTATGCGTGCTTATGGCGTTGAAAAAAAAATCATTCACAGAGAACCGCTGTCCAGTGTTGCGTTTGACTGAAACGCACTTCTATTTTTATTTTATTTAATTTTATGTTTAATTCATGGCATAGGCGTGACGTGTCCACACGCCCGTCGAAACTTCACTGTTTGAAAACCTCGCGCATTTATATCCCTGCTCTGTGACGTGTTTTCAGCTGGAACTACTTACTGATCAGATCTTGCGCAATAACTCAACCCACCCAGATGGATAAGCGGTCAAAAGTTTGTTAAAACGCTCTGCACGCATTTAAACTTTATAAAAATTATACAAATCTCGATTTTAAGCAGTTTACCTTTAATACTATAGTATGTTTTAACTACTGTATAATCCATATAATGTTAAAAATCATGCTGATTTTACATTTGTATTGGTCTCAGAGGTATTCCTGAAGCAGGTGTATGTTTGTTTCACTTAGTCTCTATTTAATTTGGCGAAATAATGTTTCCAAATGTGAGGCTCTGCGACGGAAGGCTAAAAATAAAAGATGTCATAGCAACAATGCAGCCATTGGCTGAGAAACGCGAGGAGCGGTCGGCCATTGGTCGAGCGCAGCGTCCACTCAACGGGGAGCGTGGTGACGTCGGTTCAGCGCGGAACGACGTGCATGATGGGAATTGGAGTCTCTTAACAACATAACGAAGCAATGAGTTTTGAGTTAGAAGATATGTGAAATGAAAAGCTGAGTAAATGGAACGTGACATCAACCTAAAGCCCCAAACACAAATAATTAGTGGCAGAAGAAAATTATCTTGTAATGTTTGGTCAGAGCTCTTTATTGGCTTTTGGAATATTTTCCCATCAGAAATTAGATTAGATTTTAAGAATTAAAATTTGACGTAGGCCTACTTTAATGACCATATTTGGTGTTGTTTTACATTTTTAGAAAAATGTCTAATGAATCTTTACTTAAAAAAGTACTTTCACATTTTTTTCTCTATTATGCAAATAGGGAGTGAGTGAGTGAGAACGTCAGAGGTCATGGTTTAACAACATTTCTTTAACGTATATCAACACTGGTCGAACAAATTATAGGGTGCATTCAGGTAATCTGGGACATCTAAGCTCCAGTGTGTTTTTCCTGTTCTAACAATATTTAGTCAACAGGACTTTTATTATAATTTTAGCATGGATGTCATGTGACTGAAATTGGGGTGATTCCACAGAAAGGGGCGGGGCACTTGTCAATCAAGAAGCTCTCCTGTGAAATGCATGACAAGGTCAGTGACAGGATTCTGACTAGATTAATGTTAAGGACATAAATCTGTCATGAATAAGACACAATGTTCCTAATTGTTGTCAAATTATGTTTGTGATCTTTTCAATGTTGTTCCCCGAGTAGCCCCAATTTTAACAGAATGGAGAACTTGAATAACCGAATGAATAATCCATTAATCAAATTGTTGCTTGCTGTTGCTTAAATTTTAGTTGATTCTTTAAAATGTTAATACATTATCAAATATGATTGAGAATGTGGGACAGCATGTTTTGGGTAATCTGGGACAGTCTTCAAATGGAGGAAATATGTATTTATAAGTCTAATGGCAAGGGCTAATATATGCCATAATGAGAAATGGGTGTTAATGTTAAGGACATAAATCTGTCATAAATAAGACAATGTTCCTAATTGTTGTCAAATTATGTTTGTGATCTTTTCAATATTGTTCCCCGAGTAGCCCCAATTTTAACAGAATGGAGAACTTGAGTAACCGAATGAATAATCCATTAATCAAATTGTTGGTTGCTGTTGCTTAAATTTTGGTTGATTTTTTTAAATGTTAATACAATGTTAAAAAAATGTTAAACAATTTGAATAGAGTTTTAAATGAATTAATACAGTAGATTGTTAATCCTGTGTAGAGATAGAAATTATTTTTCCTGATATTGGAATGCACATTTTCTTATTGAGATCTCTGTAGGCCTACTTGTCATTTTTTTCATAATGCTTTTTAAAAATTGCTGATATTGTGTTTGGCATGCATAAAGTATGGTGAATATAGGCTTTTTTAGGCCTAATACATATGTCCCAGATTACAAAGTGACCTGCAGATGATCAAATTCAGACAGAATTTTAATTTTCTTGCCACAAAAACACTAATAGGTGTGGCATGTCTCCTCTGGGTATAATATCTTCATTCTTTCTTCTGGTGTGGTTAGAAAGCATCTTAGGCATTTCAGAAAAGTTTAATGTGCTGATCTAATGTGTTAGATAGATATCGAAATAAATCGCAGGAGTCAAAATTGCAAAAAATGTCCCAGATTTCCCGAAATCACCCTATTTAACCCTACAGATGTCCCATAATTCTACTATTAGAGAGTGTCTCATCTAAACATCTTATTAGTCCAAATGTTCACGTGCATGCTTGTATCGGTTGTCATACTGACATTTTAACTCCTTTTATATGAAGGTGCTGCACTGAACCACAGTGGTCATTACTTTCATGACAAGTAAGCACATATTCCACCTACATTAATGACATGTATTGTGTTAAAAAATATTGTTTAAAGAATGGTATATATATATATATATATATATATATATATATATGTATATATTTACACAGCCTCTGATTTATTTCTGACAGTTAATGTTAATGCTAAACATATTCTCAGCAGTGCCCTCTAAGCATTCATAATATACTACACGCTGGATGAACTGCAGATCTTTGAGGAGATTGTTTGAGGAGCATCAATGGACAGCAGATGTCACTGTATGCCACTCTCTGCTGCATATTCATATCTGAAAAGTGAAAATCAGATATGAAAACAAGCATTACTTAAAAGACGAGCCTATGGATGACATTTAGGCTAATACAATGCTTTTTAAACAACAGTCACAATGTCTTAAAAAGTCTTCATCAGTGCTGAGCTGTGGACTTCTTCTATGAGTTTCTGATTGAACAAAGTGTTGTATTTCTGATAGACTGATGTCTAAGATATTAGGATGGAAATCTCATTAAATATCATGAACTCATTGAAGTTTTTAAACTCGCTGGATTTTTAATATTTGTAGAGCTAAAACCACCACCAATAAAACATTAGAAACATAAAAATGAAGTGCTTTTAAGATGATTCATTTCCGTTGGATGTCTCAGGCGTTATATTAAAAAATGTTGAAACAGTTTTAAACTAAAATGTAGAAGCACATATTTGTAGTAATTATTTTTCAAATAGAGAAATAAACATTGAATCTGAAAATGCAATATGTAAAATATTAATATTATAGCTATGCAAATATGTGACCCTGGAGCACAAAACCAGTCTTACGTCGCTGGGGTATATTTGTAGCAATAGCCAAAAAAAAACACTGTATGGGTCAAAATTATTGATCTTTCTTTTATGCCAAAAATCATTAGGATATTAAGTAAAGATCACGTTCCATGAAGATATTTTGTAAGTTCCCTACCACAAATATATCAAAACCTCATTTTTGATTAGTAATATGTATTGCTAAGGACTTCATTTGGACAACTTTAAAGGTGATTTTCTCAATATTTGGATTTTTTTTTTTGCACCCTCAGATTCCAGATTTTCAAATAGTGTATCTCGGCCAAATATTATCCTAACCTAACAAACCATACATCAATGGAAAGCTTATGTATTCAGCTTTCAGATGATGTGTTTAAAAATGACTGGTTTTGTGGTCCAGGGTCACATATTAATATAACGGTTTTGCAAGTGTTATGTTCCTTATTATTCTCTCACATTATTGAGACCTTGATAGACACAAAACAAAATTATAATTATGCATAATTTATGAATTATCAGTCTGACACAAGTACAAAGACAGCTTCACATTATGAAACACTTGAGTTCAAAACAAAATATAAATTTTTGTGCATGTAAACAGAATATATATATATATATATATATTTAGTTTTCAATCAAAATACAATGTAAGATTTGTTGATATTAGTTTATATGATGTTTTGCAAGTGTTTAATTTATTTCAATCGAATAACAACATGTACAAGCATAAAGACAAAAGCCAACAATAAAAAGGTTAATTTAAACATAAAATACATAAATAACGCATACAATTCTGAAATTAACTAAAGTGTATTATATTTTAGTATTTAGTAAGTATTACAAGTAAGTATTACACTATAAAATAGTCTCTATATCAACATTTTTGAAAAAATAAATAAATAAAGGAAGATATGCTGGTCGCGTGACGTCAGTGCCGTAAATCGCCAGCCGCTGTCGTGAATCAGCGCAAGTGTGGCTGACTGTTGTCATGCTGTGCGCTCAAATCATGACATATTTTGGGTTATTAATAGTGTAAATGTATAAACCGGAGCTGCTGGATATCATCTATCTGCACAGAAACACAGGCTGCTGAAGCTGCCGGAGGACTGAGAGGTAATATGACAAAGCTGCAGAACATCAAATTTAAGAGTGACATATTCATAAATCAGTAACGTTAACTAATAGAAGTTCATAATTACAGTAAATAAGCTCAGTCTGAAAGATCTCGGTCAGATCTCTCTGTAAGATCTCGTAGTCCGGTCTAGAGTTCGTGCTCGCTTCTGTTCTGGTTCTGGTTCTGGTTCTGGTCTGGTTGAGGATGTTTGTGCTGGTGGAGATGGTGGACACGGTCCGGATTCCGCCGTGGAGTTTCCACCGACAGCTGAACGACGCGATCGCCGAGGAGCTCAACAAGAAACTCGCCAACAAGGTGAGCTGAGGAAATCAGACAAGCACCAAAACAAATCATGAAATACATGAATTACATATAAGAACTATTTATGTATGCATAAACACCAGAATGAAATTCTCAAAATATTCTTCTGCTCACCAAACCTGCATTTATTTGACCAAAAACAGCAATATTGTGGAGTATTATAATTGTGTTGTCTAAACTCCTCCGCCCGTCTGCAGGTGGTGTATAATGTGGGTTTGTGTATCTGTCTGTATGACATCACTAAACTGGAGGATTCCTACATCTTTCCTGGAGACGGAGCATCTCACACTAAAGGTGACTGTACCTCACAGAGACTCTCTGTGTCCAGCACATCCTCATTCTCTCTCTCCTCCTGCAGTGCATTTTCGATATGTGGTTTTCCACCCGTTCCTGGACGAGATTCTGGTGGGAAAGATTAAAGGCTGCAGTGCTGAAGGTGTTCATGGTAAGTGGGGAAAACAATTGTGCTTTTCTCTTCTAGTGTTCATCACTGGTTTATTATCATTATCATTATCGTTAACTAAAAATAAAACCATACAAAAAACATTTTCTTTACTTGAAATAAAAGTTAACTGAAATCAAATATATGTATAAATATATTTTTAACACTTCTCATTTAGTTACTTTCAGTTCATGTAGTTAAAATAACTAAACCCAGAAAAAAGTTCCGTTATGGAGATTGAAATTGTAATTATACACTTAAACATTTTATTTTAGCTAGTTGCCAAGACACCATTTCTTATTTTTATTTCGTTTTAGTTGAAATCGTAAAATAATTCTAAATTAACTAATTAAATAAATAAATAAATAAATTGTTACTTGGAATAAAAGAATTGTTAATTGAAATAAATAAAAATATAAAAAGGCAACATATAGTTTAAGTTGAAGTACTAAAACAACTAAATAAAACAATAAAAAAGTTAAAAAAACAAAAATAAAATAGTGACTGAAATAAAACATATCTATTTTTATTTCAGGTAGTTTGCAAGGCAACAGTTCTCATTTTAGTTTAACTTGATGTACTAAAATAACTACAAATAAACTAAAACATGAAATGTTTGTTACGTTAAAGCTGCAGTCCGTAACTTTTGGCGCTCTTGCGGTTAATAAACAGAACTGCATGCGTCTCGCGGAAGAACATTCCAACCGGAGCTACTTCTCTAAGTTTATGTC